TACTACATCGAAGCGTTTCAACCTACGGTAAGAAACTAATATGCAGGATCGTATTAAATTAGATTTGATGTATAAAAAGTTACAAAAAGCGAAGATGCTTTCAGTAAAGCAGGCCAAAAAACCAATTCGGATTAGTTTTAAATATACTTTAATGCTTTTAACTGAGAATTTATTCAGCAAACAAAAAGATGATATTTTATGATATGAGGCTGAATTAGAATTTTCTACCCGATGTCCAGTTCCACTTAAAAATTTATAACACCTCTGGATTTAATCCAAATTCAACGTTTTTATAAGCTGAATATTTCTTCTTTTAGCCAATGTCAATAAGGTTTAGATCATTTGTCATTAGAATTGAGAAAAATAAGGTTGAAATAAAAGCAATAAAAAGCTTTTCAAATGGTTTCATAACTACGGTTCCGATTTTTTACGTTTGTGCTGTTGTGTGTGAAGTTCTAACTGACTTTCAAGCTTTTTTTTTTTTTTTTTTTAAATCGGTAGAGGTGTTTCAAAATTATGACTATTTTTGCTATTTTCTAAAAACAATCATCAGACCCAATACTTCCCTAACCCCTCATAACCTAACCATTTCTAACCTCACCTAACCTAACCAGCCCTTACCCTATCATTCCTAACACAAACCATTGCATACAAAAATTATCTATCTAGCAAAAAAACAAATTATGGTTTATGATATTTAACACACGGTTATTACATACCATGTGATTTGTTATTTTACCTAGGATAAGAAAATAATAAGCAGAGTCGTACTGAATGAAATAAAGTAACAAAGATTGGGCGCTTTGAGTAAACCACGCCAAAATGAATTATTTCAAAAATGGAATTTATTTTAAGCACCCTTTAAAGCCCATAGGTACGAATTTTTATTGCAAATATAATTCTATCTTTTTTTGGTTGGATTAGCTCCTAGATTAGATCCTAGAGGGCGTTTTTTCTTGACGATGTCCATTGTTCCATTTTAAAAAAAATACATAACTCCTCTGTATTTTATCCAAATTCAAGGCCATTACCACTGTTATAAAGCTTAATCTCTCTTCTTTCAGTCTATGTCAACATGGTTTAGAGTATGGGCCATTAAAAGTTAGAAAAATAAGGATGAAAAAAAAAACTCCAAATGTTTTATTTTATGTGTCCGAATTTAGCTTATTTAGGAAGGTTCAGTTTATGCCATTATTTGAAGGCTGTATAGCTCTCAATTTTTACAAGGTTTACTGTGGTTCTACGGGCTTGATTAAAAGATATCATTTTAGTGGATTATGAAAAAATCCAAGCACGCAAAAAATCCAAGCAAAAATTTTGAGTTTCCAAAAATTTGTATTCAGGGTATTTTATGGTGTAGAACATGAATTTAAACTTAGTTTCTTGGTTAAAAAATATTTAAATATAATTTTTCTTCATCGCTCGGTCACAAAATTATGCATCCATTGTATTTCAATAAAAAACAAACTCGGATTTGCTATGCAACTGTAGGTCGGTTCTTTTTGAAAAACAACTCGTGTATTTAAAAAAGCATGATCTAAACTTTTAGAGCGAAGAAAAAATATAAATTTTTGGAGCTGAATTATAGCCGATGGAAATTTTTTCCCGCTTATGTCTGGTGTTCCATTAAAAAATTCATAGCTCCTTTGGATTTGATCCAAATTCAACGTTATTACAACAGTTGGAAATCTTAATCTCTCATCCTTCAGGCTGTATAAACAAGGTTTAGATTATCCGTCGTTATAAGTGAGAAAAATAAGTATGAAATGAACAACTTCCCAAGTATTTTATAAAATCCTATACTGTTTTCTGCGTATTTTTTTCGACTAAATTGTTCGAATAACATTATAAATTTAATCGTTTTTTGAATTAAAACGGAGAACTTAGAATAGTGGCGAAGCCTCGACTTATATTGCATCAGCTAGAAACAAGTCGCTCGCCGTTCTTGAAACACAATTTTTTCCTTCTCGCAATTAAGTTTTGATATGAAACTAATTGGACTTATTTTTATTTTAAAACTTGAAATCTCTTGGGAATAGTTTTTCGAAGATCCCTAAGGAGGAAAACGGAAAATCTCATAGGCTGGTAGTAGACAATTTTGTAAAGTATGGATATTTTAAATTTTATTTTCCTGTTACATAAGTCGATGGTTTTATACATATATGGTCGAATGGTTCCATTGTACCAAAAAGTTTTTGTTTTGTTTAACGATGCTATGTTTTATCTCTTTTCTTAGGCACTAAGAAATGGCATAGTCTCAGTTCATTTATTAGACGTTCTAACTTTCTTTTTTTTAAATTAGTAGGTCAAGTGGCTTTCAGACTCAATAAAAATAAATTTTTAATAAAATCACAATCTAGACGTATAGAAGATATGTAGGTTTGTACATTAATCGGACGTTTCTTGAGAAAGTAGGGTGAGGAAAGAACTTGGGTGAATATCAATCTTAAACACTAACATTAAACCTAACTTGACCTAAGCCTAAACTCTACTTAACCAAGCAACGTAAACAATGGAAAACTATTTGTAAAAATTTGTTTTATTAAAATCCACCCTAATAAAAATATCCACGTTTAAAAAAGATGCCAGAGCGTTTTTGCCAATGGACTATAGGAGCCGAGAAACATTTTTTAAAAGTAATTTAGATACTTTTTTATGGGGCTTTTCTTCCTTAGTTGTGTATTTATATTAAGATTTTTTTTAAATATGACTATTTACCTTTCTTTACCTAGGGTTAAAAAAAATAATAAGCAATCTCGTATTAAAAATTATATACATAAACATTAACCCTAACCTACCCTATGCCTTCCTAATCTAGCAATTCTAACACGGCCTACCCCAACCCAACCAAACGAATGTAAAAAAAAATCAAATACGGTCCGGGTTTTTTGTCTAGGAGACGAAAATATAAATTAATTGAGTAATTTAGTTCTTTTTTTGTTAGTATGTAGTTGTCTGACTTTCTTGTGCATATATTTCAAGGCGATTATATACCTGACGATTTTGTTTTTGACCTAGATAAAAAAAAATAAGCAGGATTGTGAGAAATGAGATTAGATTATAAAAATCAAACATAACTTGTCTTTAACCCTTCTCTTTCTTTAACCTATACTTATCCTAAACTAACTCGTCCCTAACTTAGCTATTCTTAATTTTATCTTACCTTAACATAAATTTTACTCTATACCTAAATCGACTTAAACTAACCTAGCCCATGCAATGCAAAAAAAACTTGTTTATCTGCCCAAAAACATATCCATGTTGTACCCATGTAAAAACTCCGTTCTGCCAGGAGCCGATAAATTGTAAAGTCATGTTATTTCTTTAATGTAGTTTTCTGTCTTTCTTGTGTATATATTTCGAAGTTATTACCTATCTGTCAGTTTGGTATTTATACCTGGGGATAAAAAAGAAATAAACAGAATCGTATTAAATAAGATTATATTTGTAAAAAACTACTCGGCTCTAACCCTAACCTAAATTTAACCTACCCTTAGCTAACCTAACTCGTCTCTAACCCTAACTGTACCTTACCTTAACATAAGCTGAACTTATTCCTAAGTATACCCAACCGTTACCCCATGCACGCACAAAAAAATTGTTGTCCATAGTAATTCAGATATCGATTAACGGTCACTAATCTCTACACATTGTTGTCCATGTTGTACCCATGTAAAAACTCCTTTCTGCCAGGCGCCGATAAATCGTAAAGTCGTGTAATTTTTTAAAATGCAGTTTTCTGCCTTTCTTGTGTATATATTTCGAAGTTATTACATATGACAATTTGGTTCTGACGTGTGAATAAAAAATTAATAAACGTACTAAATGAGATTACAGTTGTAAAAATCTACTCATCTCCTACCCTAACCTAAACTCAACCTACCCTTAACTAACCCGAACTCGTCTCTAACCCTAACCATACCTTACCTTAACATAGGCTAAGGTATCCCTAACTCTACCCAACTGTTGCCTTATGCATACAAAAAAAATTGTTTGTCTCTCCAAAAACATACTCATGTTAAAAATATTGTACACTTGTCAATTCTTGCCAGGAGGTCTTAAGAGCCAATAAAACGTAAAGTCTGTAAAAAAACGTAAAGTATCTGACAATTTGATTTTTAGGGGTGAATAAAAACTTAATAAACGTATTAAATAAGATTACGGTTGTAAAAATCTACTCATCTCCTACCCTAACCCAAACTTAACCTACCCTTAACTAACCTAACTCGTCTCTGACCCTAACCATACCTACCTTAACATAAACTGAACCTATCCTTAACTCTGTGCAATCGTTAGTCCATGCAATGCAAAAAGACAAATTTATATAACCAGGCCAAAAACAGCCATGCTCAAAAATTTGAGTGTCAGAGATTTTATATTAAGTGTAAGTCGAAGATATCTTTTAGGAGCTATTCCTAAGCACGAAGATATGGAAGCGCTTCAGTTCGTTTATTAGACTATCTAACGTTCTGTTTTTTAATAGATTAGTAGGCAAATTTTCTTTCAGATTCTATATAAATAAATTTTTAATTAAAAAAACACAATATAAACCTGTAGAAGAGATACAGCTTGTAACATAATCGGACGTTTCTAGTAGGATGTTGGGTGAAGTTTTTTGAATTTTTTACAGTGATATTTTGCCATATATAAAGAAGTGTAAACTAGTATTTACTGGAATATTTTTTTGATACTTTAAAACATACGTATATATATTTTTAAGGGGAGGTGGTCTGTTTTGAAAAAAAAGAAACATCGAGACAATTATACGAGACGTAGAAAAGTGCGAAAGAGGCCAGTATGAGCGATGAGAGATGGACCAGAATTTGTAAATCGCGATAAACTGGTTCCATCGACGTGGTACACCGTCCGAGGGGACTTAACGTCGGTCCCCCGTCTTCCAGGAACCTCTGGTCGTAAGGGAGTTAAGAAAATAGTAAATACGTAAGGTGTGGGTGGTGATGGAGTAGAGGGGAGAGTAGTCTATAAGAGAGATGGTGGAGAGAGGGCCGGTCCATTATTGTACGAAGGAGGGACTGTGCTCTTCTGGATCTAACTCAGTGAAAGTGAAACAGTGTTGTTAGTGTGTTGGAGGACGGTACAACAACCGTCTTACAGCCTAAGTGAGTACTTTCACAATTGCACATATACATATATATATATACATGTATATAAAATAATATTATATATTAATATTATATATTATATTATTTTATATTGGTCTGTATGAATAAGAAAGGAAATTCTTATTTATTTTATATTTTTTTGTATTTGTTGATTTTTTTTTAATTTAAAAGCTGGATATGAAATTTTCCAATGGTACAAAAAGTGGTCTTTCATTTTTTTCTTGTGATATGGAAATTTAGTTAAACACAAGAAAGTACTTTTTCGAGAGGGAAATCTTTTTTTTTCTTTTCAATCGAACACGACCGACAGCTTTCTTCTTTCCCGGCGTTCGACTTTCTTCGTTTGCTCAATTTAAACCAAATTTTCCTCTTTTCAAAAAAAAAAAAAAATACACTTAGACTGTACCGAAAGCAGGCCTTCCGAGGTGAGTCAGAGGGTATGCCAGCTCTTTCGGACGTTTTTTAGCTCCGGAGGAAGAAGGTAAAGACAAAAAAGAAAAAAAGAAGGTATAAATCCTCGGAAGGATGAGATGACAGGTATCGGAAAGGGGGAGTGCACCCCCTGAAAAAGGGAAAAGTCGGCCAAGGTGGAGAGGGAATCTTTGAGGGAAAGAGCCGGTGTTATAAAAAGAGGGACGACGCCAGGGACATTACCGTCTGTCTCCTGTCATTCAACCCTCCAGAACGGTTTCTTGGTCTTAAGGTAAAAAAAAAAAATGGGGACGATTCATACTTTTGACTGCTTTAGAAAAAAAATCGCCATCCTGGAAGGACTTCATTTATTTATTTTTGCGACAAGACATCTTCGACGTGAAGAGACCTGAGGAATGTTGAGGTTGGTCTTTACTCCGGTTTTGACGTCTACCCCCCGGGCCAAGGAGATTGGCCAATGAACCTCAGTCTCTTATCATTCCTAGGGGGGGAAAAAACTAAGCAAAAATAAATTAAGTTCAAGTTTGTTTAACGTTTTCAGGAGTTGTAGTAGATATGTATTTTGTAAAGCTGCCCAGCAGACTGCATGGCGGCTCCGACATGTCTAATGCCTTAGCTGAAAACATCAGTCCCGGACAAGTCTACCTTGAAACAATCGAGGACATTTTCTCTAATACACATATATAAATTACATTTTAATATTTGGTATGTCTTTAAAAACGAAAAATAGATCATCCTGGCATGCCGAAACTGACAAACCTTGCAGACCCCCAAAGCAGTTGGAAGGCACATTAAAGAGGGTAACGGAAATGTCAGAATCGAGGCTGTTACCCCTTTTTTGTGTATCCGATCAAAAAAACCCTTTAACAAATTAAAATCTGCTGCAAGCCGAAGATCAAAGCGTGTACCAAAAATTGTCCCGTTATATAATGTTTGTCTTGGTATTTACAATTGTATTATTTCATGTTTGCGCAATTGCACTCGGGGTCTCTCTGGCTTATCAAAGCCGACGAGAAAATACCGGCCGGCAAATTTGAATTTGACTCTGAATCAAAATTCCCGTCGTAAAATCCTTTGTGAATAACGTAATTAAGCAGAAACTCATCTGACAGGACAACACGGCGAAGAAAAGCGGACCGAAATATTTAAAGACCAGTTCATCATATGCTGTTTTATTCCATTTTTGTCCTTATATCTTCGCTGTTTTGTTCTGTTAAACTTGCCTTGGTATAAATACACAGACTCGACACTGAAGATGGCCAGAGGACGAAACGATTCAGGCAGACCGACACAGCGAGTATTGGCTGACCAAATGATCGGCAATGACATAGCTTCATCACCCTACATACGCCATAAAGAATAATTTCAAAAAAATATCATGTAAATTTATCAGTTTGGTTCTTTTTCATTCTGGTCCGCTTATTCTCGCTGTTTTTGTCTGCACAATCTGTCCTGACAGAAACCGCGAGTATAGGCAAAAATGATCGGCGTCGATACAGGTTTATCACTCTACCCCTTGATGTAATCTCAAAATTTATTTCGTTATGCAAATAATCTTATTAGATTTGTCCTTAACATTTCTGGTCCGTCTATCTTCGCTGTGTTTTTTCTGTCCAAGCTGTGACCAGACAACGAATAGGCGAAAATGATCGCTGATGGCCATACAGGTTCATCATTCACAGTAGTTTGGTTTTTCCATTTAAGCCCGCCTACCCTCGTTGTTTTTGGTAGTCTTGTATAAATGTACAGACCTAACTAAAGATGGCGAGAAGCGGAAAGTCGTGTGGCAGAGGCAGAACGATATTATCGAAAACGACCATACTGGTAAATCTCCCCGCACTTCAATGAAAATAAATTTAGTATTTTGATTCTTTTACATTGCTCCGCCTATCCACGCTGTTTCGGTCTGCCCAAGCTGTCCTGATTTCCTGATCAGACGAGTAGAGCAAAAATAATCATCATTCTTAATAGTTTGATTTTTCCATTTTGATCAGACTATCCTCGCCGTTTTGGTCTCTCAGAAGTCCTGGTTACAGGTACAGACTTAACTGAAGGTGGCGAAAAGCCGAAAGTTGTATGGCGGAATAGCGAGTAAAAGCGGACCAAATGATCGGTAACAACATAGGTCCATCATCCACCAGATCCCATGAAGAAATTTCACAATTTATTTTGTTAAGCAAATAAATTTCTTTGTTTCGTTCTTTTCATTTATGGTCCGCCAATTATCGCTGTTTTCATTTGCCAAGACGTCGGCCAGAACAGCGATTATAGGCAAAAATGATCGTTGATCACAATGCCCGTTCATCATTGATGATAGTTTGGTTCTTTTTCTATTCCGGTCCGCATATTCTTGTGTTTTTTTTGTCTTTTCTTTAGTATGAATACACAGATCCGATACTGAAGATGACGAGAAGACAAAACGCGTCCGGCACGCCAACACAGCGAGTAAAGGTGGGTCGAAATGATCGGTAACGGCCATAAAGGTTCAATACCCAACACGATGAAGAAATTTCAAATTTATTGTCAGACCAATAAATGTATTATGTATTGGTCCGCCGATCTTCTCTTTTTCGGGCCTGCCCAAGCTGTCCAGACTAGACAGCGATCATAGGAAAAATGAGCAAGTTCATCACCCGACCCATTAAAAAATGACAAAATTTATTTTGTCAAATTTAATAAATTTATTCATTTCCATTCTGGTCCGCCTATCCTCGGTGTTTTATCAGACTCGCCTTGTCTTGGGTATAAATACACACCCAGCACTGAAGATGTTGAGAAGGAGAAATAGTCTGACAGACCGATATAGCGAGTATAAGCGGACCGTAATGATTTTTAACGAGCAAATTACAAGTTCGTAACTGAATCAGAGACGTAACAGAGACAGAGAAATCTCGCAATTTATTTTTTGTTATAGAATCGTTTAAAATTGCCCACTTTGTAGTTTTTAAACGGAATCTCGTTTCGCCGAAATTGAATTTTTCAGAACCACTTTTTATTGATCAAATTTTCAAAATATATCCAGAGTGGATTATCTAAAATCAATAACAAGAAAGAAAGTATTATTTAAATAAATAAAAACAAGAATTTGATTTTAAAAAACTCATTTTTGTATACAAGTATAATTTTGTAAAATGCCTTTGTTATCGGTCATAAATCGTCAGTTTTTCAACCAGTGCCCAAAATTTTGATGTCGAATTTATATTTTTGAATTAAGTCTATTTTTAAACACGTCAATCGTTGACTTATTTCGAGATAAGGTTTAAAAAGAAACATAAGCTGTAATAGCGGGTTATTTTTAAGGGGATTTACACTGTTCCAACAAAAGATTGTGAAGATTGTTACATAGACCTTTTTCAAAGAGGAATCGATCGAGTTCAAGACAAAAAACTTTAAGTTTCATACTCTTTTAAACAATTATTGACGTTGAACAGGAATTTTATGGAGTTTAATTTGTATTTTTATGAAGGCACAATGGCGCTCCCTCCGCAATTTCGATGAAAAAGTAATGATTTTCAACCTTTCCCCCATTGCTATCTGTATAAGACCTAATTTAATTTTCATACCGTGAAAAATGCGCTTTTTCCTTTAAAACGAAGCGCGCAACTTGATACATTCACAAATTGCCTCTGGTTTCTTTTGGCAGTTGACGTGTTTCAGTCTCAGTTTTGCCCAAAGTTTTTAGGTGGTAGTAAAAAAAACTGGAGAGGTCTAAAATTTTCCTTCAATATTTTGCCTGCTGAGAGAGACGGGTTCATTTGTCTTCCTTATTGATCTCTTAGCCCATTTTCATCCAGTGATCTTTAGCACACCCTCCGAGGTTCTGAATTGTCCTTTTGGTACCATGGGCGATAAGGCACTTCTTTGGTTATCACCATGTCCCGGAATCTCAAGGTTAACAGCTCCAAGGTGCCAGTAGGCAATCGAAGCATTCCAAGACAAGTCCAGAGCTAAACCCATACGTATTTAGAAGCTTTTATAGATGTCTGACTGTCTGAAAGTAACTCTGTGCACTTCGTGATCTCTGGTGCTACCTGGTGCTTTCATCCAGTGGTCTTTTCCACACACTCTGAAGTGCCTAGTTGTCCTTTTGGTACCATGGGTGATAAGGTCCTTCTTTGGCTGCGATATCACCATGTCCCGGAATCTCGAGGTAAACAACTCCAAGGTGCCATTAGGCAATTGAGACACTCCAAGACAAGTCTAGAGCTAAACTCATACGTATTTAGTGCTTTACGTATTAGATGCCTGTCTGTCTGAAAGTAACTCAGTGCACCTCGTGTTCTCTTGGCCTAATACCTGGTGCTTTCGTCCAGTTATCTTTAGCCCACTCTCTGAGGTGTCTAGTTGTGTTTCTGATTCCAAGGTGACCTTCTTTGGCTAGTTGGTCAGCCTGTTCATTTCTTTCTATACATTTATGTCCAGGAAACTTAAAGTAACCTTTTTGGGTTTGCCTTGGTGCCATGAAGCAATTTAGACACTTCCAGCCTAGTAGGAAGCTTAAAAACACATTTAGTGCTTTTATAGATGGCTGATTATCTTAAATCCTTGCATGGATGATTTTCTTATTTAGAAACTCCTAAGAGCTGGATTGCATGAACCTCACCTTGGATTATTATTTGGATTATTACAATTCCAAGCGTTCTGTGCTATCTTTGATCAATAAGAGTACCATATTATGTCCACTTCTTGCAACTTAGGGTTATTCTCCCACTTGGAAGGGGCTGTCGAAGTTTAATCTTTCATTTTGTCAGTGTAACAGCCATCTATATCTGTTTTTACTTCTTTGTATCCCAGTAGTCTGGCAACCTCGACCTTACGGGCATGAATGTGTAAGGGTGGGAGATGGAATATGGTTCCATTTCTTTGCAGTTAGTTTTTGGACACCATATGTCCATTGGTCGGACCATTGTGGTGCATAACCAACACACCATCTCGGAGTTTATTAGCCAATTATTACATGCGTAATCTCTGGCCAATGACAGCCTATATTTCTTCACTTGGGCCTTTGATTGGTTTACCTAGCCACAGATTATCGTTGGATAAAGTTATGGCTTTATATTTTATATTGGTATATTTAGCTACCTTCTTCTCGCATTTATGGGAGATTTTTCCCTAGAATTGATGTTTAAACATTTTTTTCACACCGTTTTTCAATATTTTTTAAATTTTCTATATACGATTGTTATCAGGCCATTTGTGTAACCTATCGTCGAGGTTAAGCTTTTAAGTCATGTGGTTAGGTCATCTTCTATAAACACTTAGAAGTGACCACCTTTTGGTATAATAATTTTTATTATTTAGTTATAATCTACGGTAGGATAACCGGATGGAGGTTATAGTTTAAGGTGGGCGGTAGATCTAACCCATTCTAAGCTAAAATCATAAATTTGTCCTGATGGAAGCTTGAACTGACTTTCTTTCTTTGAAATGTTGAACTATTTGAACGAACTTCTAAGCTAGTAAAAATGTTTTTACTATAAACTACTGTTTTAGTTGGTTTTAAATAATGAACATCAGGAACACACCTGAGTTTTTTTTATTTGATTCCCTTGTGCTAAAGAGAAAACCTTGAAAACCTTCTGGATAAAGTGATAAAGTAAAAAAACAACAATCAGTTTATGAGAATAGTTCGATAGTCGTCGAGTGAATTTGGCCTTTTGTCTTTGACAGGAAATCGTTTTGGCATAAAGATAAGCCGTGGAATGTGATACGAGTCTCGAAACGGATCACTTGTCCAATCTAATCTATTTTTGCTATGATTATAAATATTCTCTTTTATATTTCTACGTTTTATCGAATGACAAATCAAGCTCTTTCCGGTTTTTAAGTCCTTCAATCGGGTCTTAGTTGGAAATGTACTGATATGTTATGAATGGTATAGGGGAAAATGGGGAGAAAAAGGTCGACTACGTGGAGTTCGAGCGAAGGAAGTGGAATGGGAACGAAGTACCTAGCGGCACCGGGAGTCTCGGATGTTAAGTCGCTTTGGAATATGATAATTTTTACACATTTTAAGACTTGGAAATGGTTCAAAAGCCCGTTACGCGTATCATCCAGCTGAACGATTTTACAAAATTTAAATCAACTTTCGATTAACCCTGGAGGATTCTGTCTGGAAAAGATTTTTTCCTTTTTTTATACGGGTTAAGTCTCGTTTCGTTACCCGCCGGCGGAAGATATAAAAGAAATGTGAACCGGTCGACAACCTGTTCGGAACTGGTCACCCCTGGAACGACTCGGCGAGAAAGAGATCGGATAAATCCGATAAATAAACTTTGCACAAGCGCAAAGACACAAATTTAAAAGAAAATATACTGGTCAAAAATTGCGAAATAAGCCGAGGTAATATGAAAAAAGAAAGTTGTTGAGAATCTTCTAAGGTACACCTAAACCTTACTGGTCCAAAAATAGATAACGATTTTTTTTTTTTATTATATCATTTGGTGTATAAATCCTTATTTTATCTGAATACATCGTCCAGGGAAAAAGGAAGATACGCTTTTTCTCGTTTTGTAATCAAAGTTGAGATTTTTCTAAATGATAATAATCAATGTGGGCAAAAGAGGTTTTTTCTTTTTTTTAATTACAACCCAGTGAATAACGATCAACCTATTTCCCCCGTACGTAGTTCAAAAGATTCCTTCTAAATTTGGCTAAAAATCGGCAGCTCGGGTGCTTCCCTAAACGTGAGGCAAGCCTTCGATCTGCGGCACCCGGGTTCTGCCCAGTTACCTCATTCCAATAGGTGTTCCCGCAAGGCAACATCCTCCGTCAGATCTTTCATTCATTGCGACCTTCCAGCCTTAGGAAACTTCCTGAACTACATCTCCTTTATTCATTTAAGAAATCTCTCGAAGATCACAACACCTACACCCTACGTCATATCGCCAAGGTTCCCAGCAACCTTGCCGTCCGATATTTGGGATTTAGTTTGAACCTCACACTTGACATTAAAAAATGTAAGTTCTCATAGGAACGCTTCATCGACCAAGCATTCAAATCTCCAAAGAATCCGATCCAAAATCCACCAACCCTACGTCGTATCCATCCTCAACCACTCAAACCTTCAGATCCTATTTGTCCTCGAAAGACCTAGAATTCGATAAAGACCCTTCCATAAAACCCTCGTCCTTTCTAATCCAAGACTTTTCATTCTGACACCTACTTGACAATCCTCCAACACTCTTAAAGCCTCCAATAGCCTCTCGATTTCTTCCCAAGTGAGAAAAGTTAATAGTTTCGTAATAAAATGGTAAAAATCGGATTACTTATTAACTCTTCTAAAATAAAATTCAAGCTTGTAGCGTTCTACGGCTGTTGTAATAATAATAAAACATAAACCTAACCTACAGTATTAAATGTAATGGTCTCAAAAAGAAACCACAGTATTTTTAATTGACTTTTTTTAATCTGATATCAAACTTATATGTCAAGGAAAAAACTGTCAAATTGTTTAAGCAGAGATGTGTTAAGTCAAATCCGTGATAACGCTTTCTTTTTTTAGCCCTAGGCAGTCTTTGAATTAATTTATAAAGCTGTAATCGATTTTATTTAATTCAAAATCTCACTGTAGATCATTGAGGCTAAGTAAAACCTACCTCTAATCCTAAACTTAACCTTACAAAATCTAAATATTTTTAACCTAACCTGTCCATAATTCTAACTCTGTTGAGTCAAATCCACGATAACGATTCATTTTGTCCCTAGGTAACCCTAAAATCAATTTATAAAGCTTTTTATTCATAATGACTTACATTAGCTTAGCTTAGCTTAAATGCTAAGCTGGAAGAGTTTGTTAGCAAAACGGTAGCCTTTAAAATTTGCGAGGCGGAAATTATAAATTCTACAAAATGTTCATCTCACTATAGATTATGTCTATTGAGGTGAAAATAAAACAAACCTTATCTAACTTTATCACACTTAGCCTTCCCTAATCCTAACCCTAACCAACCTAACCTTACCAAGCCTAATAACCAATCCTAGCCTAATATGACCCAAATTCTTACCTAACCTTTCCAAGCCTGGTGCAACTCAACGCATACACACTCCCCGTAAGGTAAAATCGTCCCAGCTCATACATGTACCCATTCTTAAAATGAAACTAATTCAGGAAACTTCATTTCTGATGCTAAGTTTGTGTGATATGATTGTAAGTCAAAATTGCATGATGACGAATCTTGAATTGATTCAAAGCCTAGACTTTCCTAACCTAACCTGTCCCTAATCCTAACTCTAACCAACCTAATCTTGCTAGGCCTAACCATATTCCTAGTCCCATAGGATATTAATTTATGAAACTTTAATGGGGATCTAAGTTTTCGCGATATGATTGCAGAGTCCGAAGGCAAAAACGTCGTACCATGGACAGAAACAAAGCTCGACCTTTCCAACCTAACCTATCTCTAATCCTAATCCTAATCCTAACCGTACCTTACCTTAAGGCTGACCATAATCCTAACCTAACCTAACCCAACGCATGTCACTCCCCGATAGCGCGAAATCGACAAAATATGTGTGGATCAAGACCAAAAGCATGTCCATTGTTAAAAATGAAACGTATTAATGAAACTTCCATGGGATTCTAAGTTTGTGCAATATGATTGCAGAGTCAGAAGGCAAAAGCGTCGGAAGAATCTTGAGCAGAACCAAAGCCTAGACCAACGTTTTCAAGGTGAGTCAATTATCATTGATTAAAAAAAATATATGTTGGCACAAAGAAATAATATATTTATATTTTTATTTTTAAATATATATTTATTTTTAAAAAATTGAAAAGCATTGAAATTGTCTTAATAGTGTAAGTTGGAACCTGCAGTTTGTGGCATCGAATTTTATTTTTTCTGAACGTATTTTGTATTTTCAAGTCAATTGTATATTTTTTATCACATTTACTTTTTATAAGGGTGCAAAGAAATTATAACAGATGTAAATGGGCATCAAAATCATACAAAAGACGTAAAAAAATTATCTCTGGTTAAAATTAAACAAATTAAACGGCCTAATGGCTCTATTATTTTCCAAAGTTGCTTATAAAATAAATATTCGCGGTTAATCTACCACTTAAGAATTTTCAAAAGATACAACCCTCCATACCAAATCCTGTCCAGTCTTTTCCAGTCCTCGAAACACATCAAACACAAACACTACAATAGATGTTTTTTGGCCGAGGCTGAGTACGTTTTGAATGGGAGTAATTCATTTCAATTTCTCAAAGGATAGATAAATCCGATTAATAACGCTTAGTATAAAGATTTTCTGCCTTTTATACACAAAATACCATCTGAAACATTTTGTACAATGGTTCTGAAACACATTATCGAAGTGATTGGTTTATTTACAACATAACTTCGTACGGTGAAGAACGGTGAAGAAGAAGGACAAGAAAGTTTGTTAAGTATGCAACTCTGCTTCTTGAATTGGTCGAGAATTTTGGTCAAGAACTATTAACTCAAAAATTACGCTGCCTGGCAATGAATGCATTTTGTAAAACGCTTTTTAAACACAGTGCACCGCTTTTTCACCAGAAACTTATGGAAAATTATCTGCACGGAGCACGCACACGTTGACACTCGGGTCTCAAACCGCTTCGCCTTTTTTCCTCAGCCGACTCAAGTCAAAATCAACCGAAACTTTTACTTTTTCAGTACTCCCAGATAAAAATGTTTAGTGAACTTGGATTGACTCTTCTTCTAGGCAATAGTTTTGGCCAAGGTAAATATTTACTCAATGTCGTTGCAGGTCCAGCTCTCCATGGAGAAGGAGGATGTCCTCTAGAGTAAGGTCTTGCACTTACTGCTTTACGTTCCACACTCGAGGTCTTACGTGACCACCAATGAAAGTATGTATCCATCATTACCCGTAGAATAAATTAATAAAACTGTTCATTTTATAAATGGGTATTTTTTTTCGATTCAACACATTTACACGAGTCAGGAAAGGGGGGTTGCAAATTGAACACTCCTTGTTGATCTATTTCATCCATATCCTTTGTTCCCGGAGGGAAAGTATCGAAGAAAACTTTATTCTTTGCACCACGGTAAACCAAATTGCAATTTCCGAATCAAGCTTTTTGTTTTAAACCTGCCACAAACTTTGTTTCCTCTTGTGCCGACAGTCGATTAAGACACTTTTATGATTTTCTTTTATTGTGCTGCAACATATATAAGTTCGATTAAATCAGAGTAAGATAGTAAATAGACTGAACGTTTTTTCGCTATTTTTCGACCTGTCTTCAGCTTTTTGGCCAGTTGATAGACAAAGGAACAAAATTTTGACGATGCCCGATTACCAATCACGTTACTAACTGACTATTTGAATTCCCGATAAGCAGTCTGATGATTCAGAAAGTTCTATCGGTCGAGATCTAAGAATATTGGAGTATAAGAAAACAAATTCTGTTAGAGAACAGAATCATTTGATTCATTTTGAAACGGCGCTTACTTCATAGGGCTTTGTTATTAATTGTTCGATTCTTTCTGGCCGAAAACCTTCCAAAGAGGTACGTAAATCAAAGACAGAGAAAAAAAGAAACTTGAGACAACTAGGCAGGTAAGTCGAACACATGCACTCTCAGATTGCATGTTTTAAACTAAAGGACAAAAAAAAAGCTTTTCGCTGTAAACCATCACAAGCTTTTATGTCGACAATGTTTTCCGGGTTTTCGCGTTCAACGTGTTCATGGATTTTATAAAGACCTCTTTAATCCCGGGTTTCAGATGCTACAGGAGAGGCGAGCGCTGGCTGGACTGGTGGTTGCCTCCACTCTCATATCCTGCTTTGTAGCGGGACCCACATCGCGGATCATCATGGGTCATCCACTCAATAAACGTTCTTTTTTCGACATACGATGCAAAGGGGTCTACGATAAAAGTATATTCGCAAGGCTGGATAGGATCTGCGAGGACTGCTACAACCTATTCAGGGCGCCGCAGTTGCATTCCTTATGCAGGTAATTTTTCCTTCCTCTTTTTTCATCTTCCCCTTCCTTTTTTTCTAAAGCCAACAGTTTTATTACTAATTAATCGTAGTAATAATATTAAATTATTTTTAGATACGCTGAGGATTTAATTTGTTTTTTCTTTTCTTCTTATATTTTTCTATTTGGCATATTGGATTTAATTATTTTGTTTAAAATTGCTGTAACGATATGATCATTTTATAGGAAAAACTGCTTCACCTCCGTTTACTTCAAAGGATGCATTGAAGTATTACTTCTTCAGGACGAAATGGAAAATATCCAGTCTTGGATAAAGCAATTGCATGGTGCTGAACCTGATCTTTAGGTACTGCTTGCTTTTTATTTTTTTTAGTTGCTATTAGCCTAAAACGTTTTGGTTTATTATATGCTCATTATTTCTTGAGCATAAAGTTCCATGGTAGACCTGATTTACCAGCTTTAAATTTTCCTAGACCATTTTTACGCTTTTACAACGTGCACTTCTTATGCCGATGCATTTAAAAATTTTGCTTTTTTATATTTTATTATTCAAATGGATAACGATTTTTTTTTAAACAAATGTGACCAGTTTTCTGTTTGTCCGCCCTTCATCAGCCTTAACAATTGAATGGCAAAAGGACAGTTCAAGCTTTCATCAGGACAAATTTATGATTTTAACTTAGAGTGGGCTAGATCTACCGCCCACCTTAAACTATAACCTCCATCCGGTTATCCTACCGCATAAATTTTAACTAATAATAAAAATTATACCCGAAAAAGGTGGGCCAAATTTAAGGGTATCTAGTAGAAGATGACGTAACGCTTAAAAAAAGCTTAATCCTAAAAAAGTAATGATAGGTTACACAAATGGCCTGGTAACAATTATACAGAGTGAATTTCAAAACTATTGCAAAATGGTTCGAAAAAAAAATGTTTAAATATTAACCCTAAGGAAACATCTCTCATATTCGCAAGATGAACGCTAAACCTAAAAACAGTTTGGAAGATGAAGTCATAACCTTCTCCAAAGATAATCTGTACCTAAGTACAACTAACTTAAATATCAGGTGAACTAGGCCATATCGTTGGCCAGAGATTATACAGCAAAAACTCTCATACTCTTCATATGAAAAAGAAAGCTTGACCTAAAAGCACAAGACATAACCTTCTCTAAAGAAACTAAGTACTTAGATATAACCAACCAAAGCCTCAAGTGAAGAAATATAGGCCAAGACAAGAAATGGATAATAAATTGGATATATTGGTTATGTACCACAACGGTAAGATCAATGGACATATTGTGTCAAAAATAAACTGTAAAGGAATGGAAATTACACTCGATCACCCACCCTTACATATTCATGTTCAGATGGTCGAGAGTGCCAGACTCTGAATAAAATAAATAAATCCAGATTAGATGGCTATAACATTGACAAAAAGAGAGACTCAACTTTGACAGACCCCCTGGACAAAGCTAACATAGATCTTTGAAAAAAGGCAACCCCTAGTTGCAAGAATGTGTCATAATATGATACACTATTGGATCAAAGATGGAACAGAACCCATGGATTATTTCTAAATATAACACAACTGCAGCCTTTGTAATCCAACTCTCTGCACAGGAGTTGATAAAGAAGAATATGAAAGGTGCACAGAATTACTTTTGGCTTCTATAAAAGAACTAAAACTGGATCCAAGGAGAAGAAGAAGAAAGTTCATAAGATAATTAAAATAAATGAGATGGAACTTGACGGGCCTTTCCAAGTGGTCATAGTTAATGTTAAAAGTTTCAAGAAAGTGGATAATATACTAATAGATCAAAAGTCGAATAGTGAGTACTTTACAGATTAAAAAAAAAAAATCAAAAATCTTGGATTGGTTCCATCTTCCTAGCTGAGGTCCGTGCAAATCCTTGCACAGCAGTTGATGAAAAATTAAATATTCAAAGTTCTACAGAGTGACAGGCAGGTATAAAAATATTAAAATTGTATGTTTTTAGCTTCAACCTATTCTGGGAATGCCTAAATTGCCAAATAGACCTAGGTAAACATTACAAGGTTTGAGGTTCCAGGACTTAAAATGTATAGAAGGAAGTGAACATAATGATAGGTTACATAAATAATGGAGTGAGTGTGGTGTTCAATACTTTTTAAAAGGATAGTTCTTACTCACAGTAAGAGTAGGAAGTGAACAGGCTGACCAACTAGCCAAAGAAGGTCATCAAAGAACTAGAACCACAACTAGGCGTGTCGGAGAGGGTACTAAAGATCACTGGAAGAAAGTATCAGATATGAGGCGAAGAGATCAAAAAGAAAGAAATCCAAGATTTTCATGTCTCAAAAGCAAGATTTGAGGAAAATTATAGGCCTCTATACCGGCCTTCTTAACCAACTAATGAAGAAGGACAAAGGAGTAAAAACATGCCGATTTTTTTCAAAAGAAACTAGCCTGTACCTCGCCACTTTGGTAAGGCGATTCTCCCACTCAGAGAATTGCTCCAAAACGCAATGAGGAAAGTGCTTAGTTTTGAGATCTTTCATTTCTATTCGTATAAAATCAGTTTTCTTTCTTTCAAATTTTCCTTATCCCCAATTTTTTTATAATACAATATGACTACGTTTTATTTTGTTTGTATCACACTCAACCCACACTGAATCATTTGAAAAGAAACTAATGTATACTCAATTTCTGTTACAGGGAAAAATGTTTCTATAACAAATATTTTCAAGGATGTTTGGATGCACTTACGTTACGAGAAAATGAAAAGGTTATTAATGAAATGGTAGAGTATTTGGGATAGATTAAAAAAAATATTGATTGTCCCATTTATCTCGACCGACACCACCACAATCTAGTCTATATTAGATACATGGAGCCAAAAATCTCCATAGTACAACCAGTTAAATTGAATTTTAATTTATTTATTTATATATTTAAGGATTAAGAAATATGTAAAGTGTGTAAACTATGATTGTTATTTTTTCACGCTTTTAGGTTTTTTTATTTTATAAATACTCTATTTGTGATTTGTGAGCATGGATGGTGAACGAAATATGGTTTACAGTGTGAACATAAATAACCTTGATTCAATTATTTTTATTGAATACTTTGAGTTACCGACATATTTTTTTTTTTTTTTTAGATTTTCTTTTTATTTAATAGTTCAGTATTTTCCATCATTAAGAAAATTGAAGATTGTTTGTTGTTATTCTAACACAGTGAAAATTTTTATGTGCCGTAACTGCACAAAAACTAAATGTAAATTTTGTTTTGATTATAGAGTTTAACAAAGAACTACACTGCTAGTATTTTTTACAGAGTATACGACGATTATTGTTAGTTTATCTCATATAATCAAATTCACTAATGAAGTTTTAGTTTTGCCAATTGAAACTTTAACTAAGCCAAAACTTATAAAATCTTACGGATTCTTATTATATCTGCATATAAATAAGACATAACATGGTAGGACTTTGTAATATTTTTAGACAGGAAAACATTGATTTTTTTATTTAAAAAAAAAACATATTGTTATTTAAGTTATCGCATGTATAATAATCAAACTAATTTCCAAAATGTACTTTTTTAATGAAATGTGTGCCAAATTAAAAATTAGCCATGCATTGTTTAATTAAAGAATGGTCATAATTTAATTGTTGTTTTAGTTTATGAAATGTATTTAAATAACCATGGTGAAATCTCTATGAATTGTACGAATACATGAAATGCCTTGCCTTTCAATCTGATTTGATACAATACTTTTAGGATTAGCAGAACTTTTTTTTAAAATAATTTATTTGTGTACTTTTATCTTTTTTAACTTGCGTCATAAATAACAACAAAAATCAAGTTGTAATTTTTTTTTCAACCAAGTGGGATGTTCTGTTAATAGAGTATTGTCTTCAATAAATTCCCGGTGAAAAAAATTTAAACTATATTATATGTATATGGACAAAAAGTTTAAAAATAAAAAATGAAACAATATAGTGTTTTTTTTATTTATTTATTTTTAAGAATCAGTAGTTTTATATGTTTGACATACCTTAGACAAAACGGTCAAATTAAGCTTGAGTTTTTGCCATGTGATTTTTGTAATTTTACTTTTTCGTTTAAAAAAAAAAGAAAAACTTAAAGAAAATTCCATGTAATTTTATTTTCCATTTTTATTAAAATATGCATAAGTGAGTTTTATTTTTAATAAATTTTGTTATGTGTGTTATATTTATTGACAACAGTATCCAAATTTTTATGTATGTACTGATTTTAAAAAATCCTGCATAAGGTGATACGACAGTCATGATTTTATATTTAATAAAAAGAAGAAAAATTGTTAGAAAGATGGTATTGCTTCTAATTTCTGTGATACAGACTCGACTGCTTAATTCTTAGTGAAACTGAACTGATAAATTGTTTAGAATTTTTGTTTTTTGATGCTTATCTGGTGTTTTTTGTTTTTTCACAATAAAGGAATTTTAAGCAGTAAACTAAAGGTGTTTCTATTGGATACATTGCCTCGGGGAATTTAGCATCTGCCTTCATTGCCAACGCTTCTAGGCTGAATAGAGAGAGAAATAAACCAGGATGATCAGAATCTATGGGTGTAATATTCATGGCTTATTCATGGCATCATGGTATCAGAAAGTTTCATATTTACACAATGTTTTATGTCTGATTTAATCAGAATATATCTGAAACATTGTCATTGTGATTGAAGAGAATGAAGGCTTGTGTAGATCTTTTAATAATAGACCTCACATGGTCGTGCCATGTTAGCCTGGAATTAAAAATAATGCTGAGATTTTTAACTTTAGGACAAAAATTAACATGGGAGTCGTTGATGTGAGGAGGGGAAAGGCAATCTGTACTAATGGGTTTATTGGAATTTAATAACGACTGGGACTGGAATAGTAGCTGGATCAGATAGCTCCGAAACAAATGAAGGAATCGGATCAGGTGTTTTCTGTACATGAGCAATCAAACTCATTTGGGAATACTCCTCAGTCTTTCAAGCTGAAATACATGACATCATAGCATGACCTTTAAAAAATCTTAAAAGAGGTTACACTGACAAAAAAATCCTCATAATATTCGATAGCCAAGCAGCTATTAAAACATTAGCACATAAAAAAAATTACATCAAAATTAGTCAGTGAATGCATCCAAAACCTGGGGACAAACAATAATCTGATGATATCTTGGGTACCAGTACACAAGTGAATTTTGGATAACAAAAAGGCAGACAGAGTGGCCAGTGGGGAATCTGCAAGACCATATACAGGCCCTGAACCTGTTCTTGGGATAACAAAAACAAATAGATTCCTCTAACACAGAATGGATAAAAAAAAAGACAAAATTACAAGTGGATAAATTCAAGAGGTGCCAGACACAGCAAACTTATGAAAGAATCCTCACCTAAACTAGCAAACTTGCTGCTACAGTAAGAGAAGGCTAAATTAAGATGAATGAAAGGACTAAATACCAATCACTGGTATGTGAGAAAACATCTACACAATATGGTATGTTCGATTATGACCCTATATGCTATGAAGAAGAAGAAACAGCCATGTCATCTTCAAATGCGAAGCAACCACTTAATAGCGACAAAACCTGGGATACAAAGAAAACCCAGGGAAAGGAATTGTAGCAAGGGCAGTCAATGACCTAGTACTTCTTAGAAGAAGGCTCCAGTCGATTGCAACTAAGGAACTAGGAAAGTACAATTCACCAGAATGATGCAGTGTCTGGGGAACAAAAAAAACCCGACTTCCTAGTATCACATCGTTGAAAGCCCCAAGCAAACATAACACATTATACGACACACAGCTAAAAACAGTGAATTTACTGCTAACAGGGATGAGATTAAGCCAAATAGAATTTCATTTTGGAATTTTGGATTTGAGGACACGTTTAGGGCAAATTAAGCCTGAATTTGCTGGGAGAACCATTGAAATTCCACCGCTCGGGTGCAAGAAGCCTGACTCTCCAAAAAACCATAATTTTTGATTTACTGAGGTTAACTGAAAGATTTCAGTAATCACAGTAGGTCTCCAAGATTTTTTTTTTCATTGCTGGGAATCAGCTAGGATTACAAACCAGAACCACTAGGGTGGCAAATACAAGTCAGACACCCCAACCACTCAGCCACTGCAGTCCTAAGGTAGGGTTAATAAAATAATAGCCATCTTCTCGAACAGCCAAGTGGCACTGAAGGCTGTGCTGTATTCAGGCTATTGCTTATAAACATAAGACATGTTCTGATGTCTCTGCCACCCATTTTTTATGTAGCTATTCATTTATAATGGGCCATATGCCAGGGCCTATTATTTTCTTAATTCCTGCCTGCTGAAGAAGTAGATTTTCTGTTTTACTTTCTTTTTTCTATTTCTTCCTCCGTTTATTTGTTCAGTTTCACTTAGGGGCTCTTTCTTTTTCCAGTTTGTTCCTTGTTTTCATTCTCCTTGCATCCTCGCACCCACATCAGATATCTTAATGCGTTTTTTTCAGGAGTACAGATAATAATTATTCAGAAATCGTGAGATACGGTCTGGTGTGATGTAGGTATCAGAAAAACATTTTCTTTATCGTGCCAACGTTTCGATCTTTATTGAGATCATCTTCAGGTCTCAAAGTGTTTGTCTTCTGTGCAATTGTGCCATTCTTGCGTGTCGTGTTGAGAGTACAGATAATTTAGGCACCTTCAGAATTAAATATGGAGAAACCTACAGCCTTCTGGGCTGCTTGGCTGTCTGAGAATATTTATATGTGTGCATTTGCCTTTTAGTCAATGTTTGGGTGTTTCTGGTCCACAGAGTTCTATTGCATGGATCTCTGCTTGGAAAATTGATGCTGTGAGGCTTAAAAGTTTCTCCAGGTCAAAATTTGAACCTTTGACTCCTGTCTTAACTCTATGCTACATTTAGGATCTTCTCTATTAGTTAGTGACAAAATATGAAATTTAGTTACAAAAAACACATACAACTAACATGAATGCATATTATTTATTACATATTACAGTGTTGAACATTTAATTTTGAAAGTATAAATTTTATTAATAGTTTTTTTTGTGTTTTTAAATGGGATTTAGTTCTCTAACGGCTTTAACGGCTTTGCATAATGCTGCATAGTCCAGTCCGGTAATAATACCGTGTGAACGGCAAAATCCTTTGTAAACAAGATCCAATTCTCTATTGGTGAGTAGGTATTCATTACCTCTGCCAAGGTATGACAACGCTCTTGGAAAATCTTTTTTCTCAATGATACCAGTACCAACTTTGTCGAATTCCTAAAATCCGAAGGTTATGTAAAATATTATAAAGAGGCTTTTTCTCACAGCTTACCCTGAAAAGATCTTGAACGAAAAATTCCGCCTTGTTTCCAAGTTTGTGCATGGCTTCTTCCAGTTCTTCCCTTTCAATTCGGCTCATGGAATGAGCTCGTTTGTCCAGGATCGGTATACCAGCCAGTGGAATAATAAGTGGTGTCTTTTCAAGACCGAGCTGATATTCATCGCTGTAAATCGTCTCTAAAAATTGTTTGACATCGATGACATTATTGCGCAATGGCGTTCCAAATCTAAAACCACAAATAAACAAAATAAACAAATGAAGAACAAAATATTATAAAACTATTCACTTGCTTATAACATGATATAAAACATTACTCCTTGTATTGACTGTTTTTCTCCTTCAAAGAAATATGGAATAATACTTACAGTTTTACAACCATATCCATATCTTGTTGATTTAATCTAAATCCGGCAGATGAAAGTGCTCTCCATATCAGATTCATAGGGACAAAACTTTCTCTGAGTGGATTATATTGAGCAATATAATCATCAAGAGCTACACGAAGTTGTTTAACCTAAAAATTAACAAAATTATTATTGTAGTTTATCCTAACTTATCAGTAATTTAAGTACAAATACAATAAAGGAATTTAAAATATGAACTCTAATCTGCATGGCAAGCAGATAACAGCCCATGTGTCGTGAATGAGTTAAACACGTTGAAAATTGCACATTTTATCAGGCTTAATTCTTTTTTTTTTACTTCTTTTTTTTTTTTTTTTTTTTTTTTTTTTTTTTTTTTTTTTTTTTTTTTTTTTTTTTTTTTTTTTTTTTTTTNGATGTGATGTTTTAAGATTTTTCTTGTGGCTTTCCAGAGCGATCCATTGGAGGTTGTCAGACGGGATAGATAGGAGTGGAAGGTAGAGTTACGGAAGATAGATAATTCTTTTTTGGTGAGGTAGGATAATCTATTATAGGACTGACGATCGGAGGGATGTCTAGATCTTTGCCATATCGCCCGGGCTTGACGTTTTTGGATTAGGAGATTCGTTATATGTGGGGGTAGAGGGGGTGGTTCTTTAGAGATCATGGGATGGCTGGTGAGGTGAGCCTCCCAGGTCGCCTGCTGTACAGCAGAAGTGAAAAAATCCACAGCATCATCCACTTCTTCTGGTGTTTTTAGGGAGATTTTGAGGTTGATGGACTTCTCAAGGTGAAGGCGGAATATATTCCAGTCTACAGGACCAGTGAGAAGGGATTCTGGTTTTTGTTTATGGATCGGATTAAGCGATAGAGTTAAAAGGACTGGGCTGTGATCAGAGGATAAGTCGTGTAGAGTATTTATTGAGAGGTGTAAGGAATCGAGGTTTTTTGTTATAAAGAAATCTATTATGTCGGGAATGCGGTTAATGTCGGTAGGCCAATATGTGGGAGCGTGGGGGCAAATAAAGGAAAGATTGAGATCATTAAATGCTGTATAGAGAGAGCGTCCTCGGGAGTTGGTCACTCTGGAGCCCCATTGCAGGTGCTTAGCGTTGTAGTCGCCGCCGGCAAGAAATCGAGGGCCTAGGTCTTCAAAAAATTCCTGGAATTGTGTGGGAGTTATTGTTTTGTTGGGTGGACAGTATATGGATGCGATTGGTATGGTTGCTGACTGAAAAGAGACGTTGATAGCCGTGCTTTGTAGGAAGTCGGTGGCGTGGGTTCGGATGACATAATGTGATATGGTTTTGTGGATAAGGATAGCTGTGCCACCATGGGCTCTACCATCGGGGTGATCGGTTCTGTAAGTCTGGTATCCTTTTACTTCTAAGGATTATAAATAACCTTGTTTCATTACAAACAATTAATTTATGGTTTTAGGTAATTACCTGAAGTTTCAATTTGTTTATGACTTCTTCTGGTGAGCACAAGCTGATGCCCTTTTTCAGAGGAGGAGGGTTTTCTATTTTTATTGAAGGATTGTCATCGAACAGCTCAGCTGTAACATCTTTCTCAGTTGGAACAACATGCTGAAATCATAGTTTATTTTTAACAATACTGTTTTAAAAAACTATATGTTATACAAATTACCTCAACACCTTCATGAATTTCGTCCAAGAATCTGCGATAGTCGAAACCTTTCAAGTCAATGTAACGATCGTCTAAACTCTTCATTTCAGTCGCACTGAGAATTAGGTTCGCTTTGACTTCTCCAATTACCTTGCGGAAAGTTCCAGGCGACACATGACCAAAATTGCCACTAACAAAAAAAAAAAAAAATTGTCAGCGAATATAAAAGTAGAAAAATTAATAAAATATATAAATACAGGTCTTCTCTTTGAAAGTCAGTGATCAATGTCAGATGCCTTTCTTTCAAAAACTTTTGAAGCTTTCTTAACGCCAATTCACATGCTTCTTTTCTGACTTTAGTTGTGTGTGGGAAATAATTTCCTCTTATGTGCGTTCGCTTTCTCATATCTCTGATAGCAGGATATTCGCAAGTTACTGAACACATAATAGGATTCCTTGCTAAAACCCAACAGTTTCTATCTCATTAACTTATTTCATAAATTACACTGTAGCAAACGTACCATTTTGAATATCAGAAAGAAACAGCCTGTAATTCACTGATCTCGGATCAGAGAATACTCGATACAAATCACAAAGGCTTTTCAATTCTGTCTCGGTGAACATACAGCTTTTCTGAACCCCACAGTTATTAAGAACTTTTATAAACTGGAAGTCCAGGACTGTTCCACTACGAAGAGGATCCAATGGCTACAATTTTATTTAATTACTAAGAGAATTTGTTTCATAATTTAATAAAAGTTGGATTAGTTTATCCTGAAGCTATTACAATTTTAAGATAGATATTTTTTATGAGTGGATGTACAATGTTTGTGACTTTTTTCACATGATCAATTTTGTGTTACTGAGGAGTGTGCATGGGTTAAGTTTGGAGGGCTGGGCTTGGATTAGGTTAGATATAGGGACAAACATAGTTAGGTCAGGTTGGGTTAGGATAGAGTTAGACACAAGCTTGGTTGGGTTAGAAAAGTTTAGGCCAATAAAGTTAGGGTTAGGGATGGGATTAGATTAGGTTACATTGGGTTAGAGTTAGATAAGAGACGGGTTAGGTGATATATAATGAGGTTCCCTCAAAAAGAGATACAAACATTAAAAGAAATACAGTAACTAGGGTTTGAAGCAGGTTAGGAATAGGATATATGGATATAAACAAATATTTGCATGCACAATTTTTGAAGTCTTGGGCAATATGTTAGTATGTACCATAATTGCATTGAAAAACAGAAGAAACGCGTATTTTTTAAAGGTTAGGTAGAGTTGAAAAAAGGAAGATACGGGTTTTGTTAGGTAGAATATATGTAAGTCAGGTAGAGGTGGTTAGTTTAGGGTAAGGTTGGGTTAGGCTAAATATAGAGATGGGTTAGGTATGGTTAGGATTAGGTAGAGTTGGATTAGAGTTAGACACGCTTTAGGTTTTAATAGTTATTTCAGGTAGGGTTATTATAATGGATAAATTGGATTAGATTAGTTAGGGCTAGGCTTTGATAATAGGTGAGTTAGGTTACCCTAGGTAGGGTTAAAGTTAAGTTAGAAACAGGATATATAAATATTTTCAGGCCCTATTAGTGGCTATTTTGGAAGTTTTATGTTTAGAGGAAGGAACAGGGTAGGTTAGTAGAGTTAAATTAGGGACAGGTTTGGTTAAAGTTAGGTTAGGGTTGGGTAAATAGGATTAAAGTTAGGGGATGGGTTACTTTAGTTTAGGTAGGATTAGGGTTGGTAATTCATTTATACAACTAGTACGAATGTTCTATAAAATATACATAT